CACTAGGCCCCCCCCAGGATAGGCTGCTGGGGCCAGCACAGTTGCTAGCCCCAGCTTCCCCTACCTCCCCCAGGGTAACCTGCTGCACATCAGAGCACACATGGCACAGGCGATCCCCTGGGACAAAGCAACAGCAGCACAAGATGTACCACTGCTTCTTGTGCCCATGGAAACAAACATCCACGCTCATGTGGACATGGCCTTGGAGTTCTTCTGTTGCAAAGAACTTTATGAAGTGGAGGAACAGCAAGGCTTGACTTCCTTTCCTGTCATGAAATCTATGGCTAAGCTTCAAATAACTTTTGAACTAAAGCTAGCTGTCCTCAACTCAAGTGCTTGAGACCCCACTTTTAGGCCTTACCTATCCTAGCAAGAATAAATTGGCAGACAAGCCTACTGGAGACAGCTTATACTGGCAAAAGGTCTTCACCTTTACAGAGCTCTAACAAAATATGTTAGCGTGTCAGCAGTGGTCCTTTTGCCTCAAAGTTTAGGGTGGGGGTGGAAAGAGGACTTATTCTGCCTTCCAACAGGTATTCTGACAAAATTTGAATTTAGGACAGATGTATTAGAGTATAAGAAAGACTGGACAGTTTTAGATTTCCTTTTTTCACAGGAGTACTGCTTCTTTAAAAATTTGCAAGAAAAACGCATAATGTATGAAAAAGTTGTACAGATGACCAAGCCAGACAGCAGCTGCACACAGAGCAACAACAGCACAGGGTGGTGGCGGCCACCACATGCGAGCTTCCACTCCCCACCTCCATGTCTGGCTGGTGCCTGTGGGGTCCACAGAAGGGCACCACTGCCTTGGCCCGCACGCCCCCCGCCCCAGAGATGGTGGCATGGGGTAGGGTGGGGTGCCAGCACTATGTCCCCACCTACCCATGTGTACCCTCTACAGGGGTGAGCAAAATGCAGCCTGGGGGCCGGATGCGGCCTGCCAGGCCATTCTATCCGGCCCGCAGGGGCCCCTCAAAACAAATTTAGAAAGTTAATATTAATCTGCCCCTGGCTGCCTGTCATGCAGCCCTCAATAGCTTGCCAAAACTCAGTAAGTGGCCCACTGCCCAAAATAATTGCCCACCCCTGGCCTAGGGCCTTCCCAAGTACCCCCAAGGGTATGCATACCCCCAGTTGACAACCCCTGGACTAGATGATCTCCTGAGGTCCCTTCCAGCCCTGGTTTTCTATTATTCTATGACTATTATGATGAAGTGACAGATGTTATACAAAATCTGCCTGGAACTTGAAAGATGTTGATAATTCCCCATTCACTGATAACTTCCTGGAATCAGCTATTAAAAAGAGAAATCCACTCTT